TCCAGCCCTACTGCCTCCTCCCCTCCACCACAACAGGACTAAAGGCTCTGGGAACTTCGGAAGGCTGAGCCTCCCTGGGTGGCACTTGGGACAGGTCACCCTGGTGAGTTTCCCATTGATGAAATAATGAATAATAATGAATTTTAGCATCCTGCTAAAATCTGAGGGAGATAATGTAAAATAGGGCAGGTGATTGCCCTGCCAAGGCAATAATGCAGGAGAGTGTGAGGAACAGATTATTGTCTCAGGGACAATAACCTTCTAAAGCAGTGATTCTCAACTGCTCACCAAGGGACATTTGCAATGCCTGGAAACATTTGTGGTTGTCACAACTTGGAGGAATGCTACTCGCATCTAGTGGGTACAAGCCAGAGATGCCGCTTAACATCCTACCATGCACAGGACAGCCCCAACAACAGAGTGATCCAGCCCTAACATCAATATTGCCAAGGGTGAGAAACTGTTCTAAAGCAAGCTTTCGTGACTCCTTCACCTCCTCCAGCCTGGGAGCTCTGGCAACTGGGCTGGAGAGCCACTTGGTAGAAATGTTATGATAGGATGTGTCTGTGTTGGGGGGAAGAATGGGGTAGAGACAGGGAAGGTGAGCCAACTGTATTCTAAGGCCTTTATAAATCAAGTCATATTCCTATCCTGCTCAAAACTTTCCAGTGGCAGGCCAGGTGTGGTGGCTTGCACCTGTAATCCTAGCACTCTGGGAGGCCCAGGCGGGTGGATCCTTTGAGTTCAGGAGTTTGGGACCAGCCTGAGCAAGAGAGAGACCCCGTCTCTACTAAAAAAATTGAAAGAAATTAGCTAGACAACTAAAAATATATAGAAAAAATTAGCCAGGCATGGTAGCGTAGTCCCAGCTACTCGGGAGGCTGAGGCAGGAGGATCGCTTGAGCCCAGGAGTTTGAGGTTGCTGTGAGCTAGGCTGACGCCACAGCACTCTAGCCCAGGCAACGGAGTGAGACTTTGTCTCAAACAACAACAACAACAACAAAAAAAAACCCCAACTTTCCAGTGGCTTCCTATTGCACCTACTACAAAATACAAAGTACTTTTCTAGTGGCTTACAGGGCCTAACCCCAGCTTACCTCCCAGCCCACTTGTTCCTCTACAGCCACACTGGTCGACTTTCCTGTTCTTAAACACACAGAGCCTTTGCACTTGCTGTTCCCTGTGCTCAGAATGCTCTTCCCCAGCTCTCAAAAGGGCGGGCTCCTCCTCATCTTCCAAGTCTCCTCAAGGGGCCTCCTCTGACCATCCTGTCAGAGGTGGCTGCACCCTCCCCCACGTTAAAGGTGTCCTCTTTTACACTAACTTTTCTTCACAGCTGCTAGGTTGTAAGCTCCACAAAGGCAGGCTTTTTGCTGGTTTTGCCCACTGTAACCCAGATTGTTGAGAACAGTGCTGGGCATATTCTAAGTACTCAATAAATATTTTACCTAAATTTTTATATGAAAATTTTTTTTATTACTTTATTGTCTACCTTTCCAACAAGAATATAAGCTCCATGAGGGCAGCCACCTTAGCTGTCTAGTTCACCATTATATACCCAGAACACAGAATAGGGGATGGCATGTGGCAGAGGCTGAATAAATGAATGAATTCTTTAGTAGTTGGGAACACTTCTCCCCTCCCCCAGCCACCACCACCCGTCCTCCCTGCCTGGGGCTGGAGCATGCCATATTTGTCATACCCTAGGGAAAACAATGTCCCTGGAACAAGAGGATATAGTGCAGCAATTAAGAGCAAGATCTGAGGTTGAATACTGTCTCCATTAATACTGGCTTTGTGAAATTAGCAAGTTGCTTAACTGCTGTGACCTTCAGTTTCCTCATCTATTAAAAGAGGATAATAGGCTGAGCTCAGTGGCTCACACCTATAATCCCAGCATTCTGGTAGGCTGAGACGGGAAGATTGCTTGAGGCCAGGAGTTTGAGACCAGCCTGAGCAAGAGCAAGACCCTGTCTCTACAAAAAATAGAAAAAATTAGCCCGGCTGAGGCAGAAGAATTGCTTGAATCCAGTAGTTTGAAGTTGCAGTGAGCTACAATGATGCTACTACACTCTACCCCGGGCAATAGAACAAGACTCTGTCTCAAAAAAAAAAAAAAAAAAAAAAAAGGATAATAGTAGAACATATTTGACAGGGTTGTTGGGAGGATTCAGCGAGATCATGAATGAGCCTGGCATCTGGCACACAGGGAGAGGTGAATAAACATTGGCCAGTATTATCATTTGGAGTGATGTTCCCAGCCCATTTGCCTGTCTCATAGAAAATGACAAAGCCTTGGCACAAGACTGAAAAGCACTCCTGCCCATGGTGGCAGCTCAGGGCACCTCCTTACTCAGGATGTCACTCCTGTGCCATTCTTTTGCTCTTTCTGGTAACTGCCAGATGCACAGAAGCTGGAAACTCACATTCTCATCCAGGAAACGAAGATATTCGCGGCCCAGGGAGCCTTCAGGCAGGCTCTGGAGCTTGCCCAGGTCAAGGGTGGACAGTGAGATCCGAGGACGCTCCCTGCAAGACAGGATTTGGGTATTGGGAGAGTGTTGGCAAAGGCAAGTGAAAGGTCCAACTAAAACAAGCTGGGGCAGGGGGCACAACAGAGCAGCAGTGTGGCCATAAGCCCTAACGGAACATCTACAACTGGCTAACCCAGTGTCAAGGACTGAGGAGACTATGACAAATCAAGACATGGTTCCTGCCTGCAGGAGTACAATCTAGGCATGAAGGCAGGCCTCAGATGTTACCAGGGTACTTACAAAATGTAATGTGGGGTTTGGGGGATGGTACAGCTAGTACATGTTATAGGAGCTTAATGAAGGCATAGAGCCTTGTAGCTGAAAGTAGGCTGAGGCCACCACATTGCATAACCCAGAGGTCATCACAGTGTATACACATATATATAAATGGCACCCCTGGAGTTGAGCAGTGTCCTGCCCGTGCAACCATCATGGCCAGGGTATCAAGAAGAGCTCCACAGAGGAACAGAACTGACACAATGTGACTCTAGAGAGGTCAGAATCCCTAGAGAATGCTCCCAATCCCCCATGCAGAGCTGGGACCTACTGTAGGATCTGGGCACCCTCTGGATCCCGCCTCATCTGGTCCCTGAGGACCTTCAGGGTACGGTGTCCTGTGGTCTCCCCTAGAACTGCAACCATGTCTGAAAGGACAGAAATGGGCACAAATGGGGGATATGATCTTAGGTAAATTACCTTACCTGGTCTGAGCCTACGTGATAAAATAAGGATAATATCTACCGCTTACTTATAAGAATTTATGCTAAACACTTAGCGAATCACCCAGCACATAGCAAGGGCTCAATGTACGTATCTGTAGTTGTTACTAGTGTTATTAATCTACTGGAGTGGGATAGCACAATACTCTGAAGAGTTTACAAATCACTTTCACATCCATTAGCACAACAGAGTGTCACGTCTCCATTGATTGGTACAGGCTTTGGCTTCAGAGAGTACTGGGTTTGAGCCCAGGCACATTCACTATCTAGGTGACCTTGTGCAAACTGCTTCATATTTCTAAGCCTCAGTGTCCTAATTTGCGAGGTGCAGATAACCCCTTCTTATAGGGTTAATATGAAAAATCAATAACATCATGCATATCAAACACCTAGCACAGTGAACAGACAGAATAAGTACCAAATGAGCAGTTAGCATTATTGTTTTTTATCAGTAGGAGTAGTGCTTCCAAGAACTTAAAAATTCTGGGAAGAATGATAAAAGCACTGTAGAATCCTAGGGTGTTATAGTCACATATTCTGCAAATATTTATTGAGCATTTGCTATGTGCCAGGCACTATCCAGTATGCTGCAGATACAGTGGAACAAGGCAGTCACGGTGCTTGAAAGTTTGCTTTCTAGTGGGATGTTATAATTTGATGGATGTTTATAATTCGTCTATTTATTTAGTCCAGACATCTCAATATGGCTGGATGAGAAAATCTCCCAGGAAGTAGTTTAAAAAGGCAAGCGTCCAGATTCCACGCCCCTTTCTCCCTTCCCCCCTTCCTTCCTCCTGCAGATTCCGATTTAGTGAGTTTAGGTGGGACCCAGACATCCGCGTTTTTATAAACGTTCCGGTGACTACGAGGTGCAGCCAGGTTTGGGTACCTATCCTCCAATTACTCATAGGAAAACAGAGGCTTTAGAGATCGTGACCTGCCTAGCCTTCCAAGACAAAGCCGCGCCGCGACCCCTCGCAGCCCGACCGGAGCGCCTAGCGCCGGTCGCCTTACCGTGGCGATAGGGGTTGTAGAGCGCCATTCCAGCAGAGCCGGCGGCCAGCAGCGCCTTCTGCAGAGGGGAGGTGGGGATGTGTTCCGGGTACAGCAAGCCAGCGCCATGGCTCCCGGCCCGGAGGGGCACATCTGCGGGGCAAGAAAAAGGCCGAAGTCAGAGAAGCCGGCGCCCTCAGGCTACTTCCCGCCTCTGCCTGGGACCCGGCGTCACTTGCCTGCCGCAAGCCAGGGACCGCCCGGGAACCGGCCTAGTGGGTGCAGGGCCCGGCGCAGCAGGGTCGCCATGGCAGCGGACGTCCGCTGGAGGACGGGCGGGGTAAGGTTGACGCCCTAAGTTTCTCTGGCGACGGAACACCAGAGAAGAAAAAAAAAACTCGATTCTGATGCGTTACGGCTTTTGACGGGAAGCGTCGGTAGCACCGGCAGTAATGGGTCCTATACTAAGTGTGTGAGGGAAACCCACGCGACGTGTCTACCATCTATCTCCACCGATACAAGACTCCTCCCATTTCACCTCACCCCCCAAAAAGAGTCCCTACAGGAGCCATAACGCCGCCAGCTTTGCGGTTCACTGCCGGGCCCTACTTCCTTCTCCCCATCACGTTTTCTCGGAAGACATTAAGATAAGAACTACTTCCGGCTGCAGAACATGGCGGCGCCCATTGTAAGTACCACATTTGGGGGCGGGGCCGTACGGCATTTCCGCCCGGATCCCAGGTTTTTTGCGAACCTGGGCTGCGGGTTTCAGTTATGGGGTCCGCCCGCCTGGCGCGGCTTCATGGGCTTTTCGCTGCCTATAAGCCCCCGGGGCTAAAATGGAAGCACCTGCGAGATACCATGGAGCTGCAACTTCTGAAGGGTGAGTGCCTCGAAGCAGACCCACGATCCCGCTCCCATTCTCCTGGAAGTCGATCTCCGCTTCTGGTTCTGCCCGCAGAATAAAGTCACGTGACCTGTGTGCCTGGACGAGCTTACCGTCTGGCCTTTATGTTTCATTACTTCTCATTTTCCCTTATTTTCAGCTGGGGAAACAATCATTATTGTCTGTTGTCATAAGGTCATAAGGATAAGTAGTAGAGTTAGGATTTGAACCCAAGTCTCTTTCTTAACTACTGCTATTCTGTTCTCTACACCATGGGCTTCTCATCAGTCTTCTACATCTGCGGTCCCCAACCCCCCGGCCCGCGGACCCATACCATTCCTTGGCCGCAGAGCTCTGCCCCCGCCGTCCCCACCCCCGCCCCCGTCCCGTGGAAAAATTGTCTTCCGCGAAACTTAGGAATGGGGTGGGGACGCACAGCAGGAGGTGAGCGGCCAGAGAGGGAGCAAAGCTTCATCTGTATTTACACCCGCTCCCCATCCCCGTCGTATCGTATCACTGCCTGAACTGCGCCTTTCCCGTCCCCCACACCCCATCCTTGGAAAAATTGTCTTCCATGAAATGATCCCTGGTGCCAAGGCTGCTCTACATCATCATACTTCCCTGCTCACCTCTGCCCCCCTGGTGTTGGGACAGAATTGACAAGATATCCTTTACTTGTGTGTGTTTAGGTCTCAATGCTGGGAAGCCTCCTGCCCCTGAACAGCGTGTTCGGTTCTTGCTGGGCCCCATGGAAGGCAGTGAAAAGAAGGAGCTGACCCTCACAGCCACCAGTGTGCCTACCCTCACCAGCCATCCACTGGGTAAGACAGATTCAAGTAGGATCCTGTATGTCACTTCCCAGGAAATCCCTGAGTAGAGTCAGTGTCCCAGCACTCAGACTTCTGTGCCGGGCCCTTGGAGGTCCAAAATGGGGATGAAGTATTAATATTAGAGCAGAGATTGGAAAACTTTCCTGGAAAGGCTGGGCGCGATGGCTCACGCCTGTAATCCTAGCACTCTGGGAGGCCGAGGCGGGTGGATCGCTCAAGATCAGGAGTTCAAGACCAGCCTGAGCAAGAGTGAGACCCCATCTCTACTAAAAAATAAAAAGAAATGATCTGGACATCTAAA